GTGAGCTCGTTCTGAGGGACTCTGAACCTCATAACAAAAAAAAACCCACTTAGTTCCCTTATTCTGCCTCAATTTATTCAATTTTTTCCTGCTTGCCTCTCACTGAAGGAAAGAAAACAGAATTTTTTCTTTCCATTTGATGCTTAGTTGGGGAGGTAGCTATCCTGCTCCCCGTCAAGTCAGTGAAAAAAAGGGTGATGTCTTGTTCCTACACAAAACCCAGGATGACAGTATTTGTTATTCTTCCTCCCCAGCAGACTCAGGACATTGTGGCCCTTGGGGAACCATCATAATTGAAACATTTTTCCACGCTGGAATAGAAATCCTCTCAGCTGTGGGTCCCCACATCCAACCATTCATTCAGCAGCAGCTATCTGCCCACTGATGAAGGTCCATCTAACCTCTTTTGTTCCTGGGCAGGCCTTCCTGACGACCAGATCCAGAAAGGCAAGGACATCAAAAGCATTTCAGAAATTGTGCAGGATGGGAAAAAGTTCAAGGTTACTGTGACTACTGGCACCAAAGTGCTGCACAACGAGTTCACAATTGGGGAGGAGTGTGAGATGGAGATGCTGACAGGAGAGAAAGTCAAGGTGAGTGAAGAGCTTCTCCTCCGCCAGGGCTGTGGGGGCTCAGGCATTTCAAATTTCCTTTCCAGCCATTTATTCTGCACTTGAGCAAAGGGAATGACCAGACCACGAGGGTCAAAGCTGACACAGGGAAAAGACCTAGATAATTCCCCCGCCTGCTTCTGTCTCTCACAGTTTGCATGCATGATTTAATACAACGGGAAGAAGCTAATTGCTGAAACCGAGTCTGCAGATGTGACACCAACTGCCCTGCTCTCTGCAGGTCTCTTAGGGACCCATTTTCAAAAATGGCCCATTTTCAAAAATTTCTGAGTCACCTTTCTGAGGAAATCAAAGCCTGAGATTCTGAAGTTCCCACCTCCCCTCTTTGCTTTTACAAAACAAGCTCCCCAAACAGCACTTGAATTTCCAGCCAACACTTGTGCAGATGAATCCTTGAATTTCTAAAGCTATTTTAATAGCCTGTTTGGAAAACACTGGAAGATAGTGTTTTAATAGCCCATTTGGAAAGGGGGAAAAGAGACGCTTCAGTAAATTTTTCTGACAGCAAAGGATCTGAAAGATTTCAGGTGGAAAAATGTTGATTTTCTGTCAGGTTGCAACATGAAACATACCCCCACCTTTGTTTTATTGACTTGTATGTAGTGGAGGGAAGTCAGCCAATGAATTATAAACCAATAAATCCTTTTAAGTCCCCTCTGCTAGCCTTTGCTACTGCTTCTGTTTATACTGGGTGAGGTGATTTGGCAAGGTGAGGATTTATCACCCTTGAAATTGGGTCAGCTCCCATTCCTGGACATTAGTTTCCCATGGAACATAATATGTCAAGACAGTGCCGCTGGGGAATATTGCCTCTCACCTCTACCTTGGGAGGACATGATGTTTCAGAGACTTTTGAAAGCGGGAGGGCTGATCACCAAAGAAACACCCCAGTGAACTGGGCTCTGAGAGCCCTACTGACTGTACCACGATTTCCAGAGTCACTGAAGTCCCTCGCACGTGCACTAGGGAGAAACGGCTATTAGAAGAGTTTTGCCCTCCATAAATCAGTGACTTAAGGGCAGATTAACATATTTTGTATCTGGGCAGACCAATGAACAGAACCATTTTTTTTCCTGAGTTATTTATTTGAGTAGTTTCAATGGTCAGTGATAGCTGGCCTGGGGGTGCTGGTGCTGTCTGTAGCCTTTTTAGATGTGTGGCTCTTGGGAGGCAGAGAATCAGCAGACATGCCTGTCCCTCTGAAACCTTTCCAGCTGTGACTGAATTTCTGAAAGTTTCTTAAATAGTTTCCCACCTTGAACGAGAGTCACCCCTGCCCCATGCTGTTGCCCAGCTCCCCATCGTGCCACCCTTTGTTTGCTGCAGCAATGTGCAACAGGTGGGTGGTGGAGAGATGACATGGCCTGGCCCACGTGGCTCAGCTGCCCTCTCCTTGGAAGTGTGCAGCTCCTCTTGGTCCCGATGCTGCACGAGGAGCTGCCCCAAGGAGGGCATGGAGGCACCAGAACTGGCAGGGTGAAAAGCCTTCCTTCTTCTCCCCCTAAAACTTATGTCTTGGTGTGATGTCAAGGGATGCCAGGGATCCCTGCTCTGGCATCGAACAGTGTGGGAGTCTCAATCTGAAGGGGAAAGAGGTGGGTATGGTGGCAAAATCAATCAATGTAGAGGCCAAAGTAAATATCCATACCTTTGTTGTGCTACAGTCACCACCAGAGCAACCCTCTCTCCTCCTCCCAGGAGAGACAAAATCACTGAGGGAGCAGCTTGCTCCAACCCGCTTGCAGAGGGCATGGTGGCAACTCAGTACAGAAGGGGAAGGACAAAATGCAGGGGTTGAGATGGTCTCCAGCAACAACACGAATGTCTCTGTCTCATCCTGCCAGGCTGTTGTTCAGATGGAGGGTAACAACAAACTGATTGCAAACCTGAAGGGGCTGAAATCCGTCACCGAGCTCAAAGGAGACACCATCGTCAATGTAAGTGTAGAAAAGAAGAGCAATGGCTGAAGTAATGGTGCATACAGCTGCCTTCAGGGATCTGGCCCTAGAAAGCCTACAGAGATGCTGGGGATCTTAGAGAGGTGCTGGAGATGAGCATGTGCTTGCACTCAGGCTCTGCAGCCAAAGTTGATGAGTTGGTCAGGCACTGAAGGCAGTTTTTCATTATAATCTGATAAAAAAAAAGTACACCCCAGTAGGCATTGCTGAACAAAGTTTCATGTAATGAGGGCATGTTCTCATCCATTCAGAGGTATAGGTAGGTATCTGGGCCTGGCACTTTTAAAGAGAGGTGCAGCAGACTGATTCCCATTGGGGGATGCCAGATTATCCCTACCTGCTCTGGGATATTCATTAAGAAACTTTAATAATTCAGTCCAGTTTTGATTTGCAAGAGAGTTTGGAGCCAAGCACCATGAAAAACTAACACTCTCCATTGGTTTTTCAGACGCTGACCATGGGAGACCTCACCTACAAGAGAATCAGCAAGAGAATCTAAAAACCTTCCACACACCAATCATTTTACTATGTAAAATGTATCCATTAAACTAAAATTTGTATTAAAACCTTCCTCATTATCATCAGCCTCCTCACCGTTGCTATAAATAGGTGCAAGCCTCCAAAACTCACACAAGCCCTGGTAGAAATTGGTCGACAGGCTGAGCCAAGGCTGTGCTGATGTCGGTGAACGGAGCTGGGTTAGGGCACAGGCTCAGAGCCAGTGAGTGACCCTCTGAGATGTGCTCGATGCTGATGAATTCCAGCCCCTTCCTGGGAACAGGTGCCAGCATCTTGCTGGGGATGTCCCAATGGGTCATGCACACACAGCTGCCATGGATGGATGGATGGAGGGATGGATGGATGGAGGGATGGATGGATGGAGGGATGGATGGATGGGCACTGGGCTGGAAAAGGGCTCTGTTCCCTTTCCTTACAGCCACGGCCAAAGTGACAGCAAGGTGACTGTCAGGGCCAACAGCTGGGGTGGCTTAGGTGGGCTTCAAGGAATGATGTCGGTGATCCTGCCTAGACAGCTGCCTTAGGAATCTGACCAGCATGGGGGCAGCTCAGATACCCAATCACCATCTCCACCCTCACACCTCTGGCACGGGATCCAGCCCTACAGGCTCTGGTCACTCCATCCCCATCTCCTCCCTGTCCCTTCTCACCAGCAGGAAGGACCCGAGCAGCCTTTAGGTGTCCAGTGTGTGTTTCACACTTAAACTGTGTCTGATAAACTGGGTTGAACTAGAACTGAACACTTCTTCCAGGGTGAAATATAAGTTTTTTCTCCTGAAAGGAGACCACAAGTGCTTTCCTGCCTCTTCCTACAACTCCGACATGTGCCACTAAAAAATCAGTATGTTCTCACATGCATCTCTACCACGTCTCCTCTCTCCTCGGGGAAGGTTTTTATGTAACAGGTCAACACTGATCCTCATGCTGAGAACTGGGTACCTCATGGGCAAATAGAAGGGCTTAGCCAACAGCACCCAAAAAGCAGATGTTAGTCTCCAGTGAACTCATTTTAGATCTGGAGAAACATCAACAAAATCACTGAGAAATATCAAAGAGGAAAAGCCCTTCTTTTGCTTTCTTGCTATTCTGCTGAGGAGCAGGTAGGGGAGCTCTGAACAAGCTATCCTTTCTCATCTCTTGGCTGCCACTAAAGGTCTCGAGCAAATCAGTTGGATTTTGAGATAGATGGGCAGACAGCAAAGACTTTTTTTGATCTAGAAATCTAATCGTTGCCTTTAGACTTTTCCTTAGCTCCACTGGCTGCCCATTGGCAGCTGATCCATAGCCTATACCTTTCTTGCTCAGTGCAGCACCTGTTGAAGCTGAAAAACAGGTGCTGAAAGGCATCAGAGCCCCCAACTCACCCTGAAAGTGAGGGGAGGTGGATCCTCCTCCCTGGAAACCACTTCTTCAGTTAGAGCAATTCACACAGCCAGTGCACCTCACCAGTGCGAGTAGCTTCTGGCATGGGCTCATTCCATCTCTATCTGCTGCCATCACTGCAGACACTTTCTGATTTTTAACTAAGGAGATTAATTTACCCTAATTAATTTATCCTGATTTGGCTATTCCACTTAGTCTCACTTGCAAAGCACCCACAGTTTGATGTTCCACTCACTTCAGCTGTAGAATCATTTTTCAGCTGTTTGTCATCACAAAAACACCATTTTACACAAACGCTATCTGTGGGTCTCACTCAGTTTGCACTCAATACCCAAAGGCATACAGGACACTTTTTGGAACCAGCTTCCCATTTCTACGATCTTTTTGTCAACTGACCGTGGACATCACTGGGAAGAAATAATGTCATCACATGGAAGTGATGAGAAAAAAACAACAAAAAACAACACTTGGGAAAGAATAAATTAAATTTAACTAAGGATATCAGGATCAGGATTTGTGTAGAAAGAAACAGGCTTCCAATAAGAATGTAAATAATTTTATAGCAAGGGGTTTTTGCTTTGATTTTTCATGCTAGTGGTAGAAAAAGGATGTTTCTGTCAAGATCTCTTCTGCTTTGAACCTTTAGAAGATTTTTCAGGACTCTCTCTCAGCAGATCCATGCTGTCAGACCGGTGCCACTGGAAACAATCATTATGGATACCTCATATTCCTATAGCACATTCCCAATGTTTTGAGATGCCACAGGTGATGTCATCCCACAGGCATGAATTCGTACCAAGCTTAAGGTTTACTCCTTCTTGTGGAAGAGGCTTGGTGAGGTCTCATTGCTGGGCTCAGGCATGACTTGAATCTTTTGGTTTTTGAGGGCGGCTTCCCTCATCTTATAATACATGAACTCATTCTGCTGGAACATGCGCAGCTCCATCTCCGTCTGGACACGCATGACCTGAGGGGCACGGAATCACAGAATTATTGAGGCTGGAAAAGACCTCTGAGATCATCAAGTCCAACCTATGACCCAACACCACCACATTGGCCAGACCAGGGCACTAAGTGCCACATCCAGCCTCTCCTTAAACCCCTCCAGGGATGGTGACTCCACCACTTCCCTGGGCAGTGCATCCAAACAACAGGTTACAAAACCTATGACACAGGAGATCTTGAAACAAGTGAATAACACACTGCCTGGAAAGGGGGATTGTCCTTCACAGATGTCCTAGGCCATGTAATGACTGATGTACCTTACTCTACGTGTCCCACCAGCAGGACTAACACCGGACACAGATATCCAGTTACTTTCTCAAACCTGATTGCCTGTGTCATGTGAAGTTGAAGAAGGCATCAGCCCTTCCTTCATCCAGCTCTCCTACAGGCTGCTGAGAAGCTTCATGCTCCCAAGCCTGGTGCAGGATCTAGAGGCGATGCTGTGCAGAGCCAGGGAGCGAGTGTGCTTCCCATCCACACCCTGGGCCTGACCCGTGGTGTGACCCATCACCAGGGTGGGGGTCACCTCACGTGGGAGGAGGAAGGGAAGGAGGAGAGGGATGCTCAGCCCGTCTCAACCACATGACAGCTGCACCACCTGCATCCCAGGATTCATCACAAGCGGAGTCATTCCTAGTGCTGCACTATAGCAAAGGCTCAGAATAGATTTCAGGAAATCTTACATCTGTCTGTGAGTTCATTCAGCCCTAAGTTTAGGAGGACAGAGAAAAGCCTGTCCCATATATTCAATATTTTTCTCCTACAGTAAGTGGAAAGGCAAATACAGAAATGGAGGTGTTGGAGTCTCACTCTCTGCTACACATAGGGAAACAGCCAACAAACAGGTTGGCTTTAGGTGCTAGATACTCATTTTTCTGATGACAAAAAATTGCACTAATAAAGGTTACAGTTCTTCTATAACAGTGACTAAGACATCAGTAAAGGATTTCATTTGGTATCCTGTAACTGTGTAATTTTTTTGGCTAGTAAAGAAGAATGCTGTAAAGCCAACAGTCACACCAGGTGAGTTAAAGGCTAAAGAAGTGACAGATCCCCAGCTGCAGTTGTAAGTAGTTCATGAGAGCTGAGCAGATGCAGTTCCCTGGGATCTGCAGCTCTTGACCTTAAGCTGGGAAATACACTTATCAGTCAGTTAAGGAAAAAATACATTGGAGCTTAGAAGGACTGGGGAGTGATAAATAAAGAAGAATGGACACTGATAAAGAAAATCTATTCATAAAGTAGGAACATCCACCATACGAAATTCGATATAGGTGAATTGTAATGCCATCCATCCGAGAGCAGCAAAATCTGGCTGTTTGAAGAATGGGAGGATCTGTCCTTGGGCACAGCAGTTTCAAAGAAGATTCAGGGACTCAGATGTCCTTTTGAATGCATGTCTCAGTGCAGGATAAAAACTTTTTCAGGGATGAAATTTTCCCATAGGAAGGGACATTTCCCAACAGACTGTATCATCATCTAGAGAAAACCACAGCACTAGGGAGAAGCAGTCAGGACTTGACACATCTCTCAGCTCTTATGGACAGGTTGTTTCTACAGCTTGAATGTAATTTTGCCCAGACAGACAGCACAGACAACATGGGAGATGATGCCTACCTCCAGGTCTTTGGTAATTGGGTGGGAAGGTCCATGGGTTATCAGGAGAATGGCATAAGCTTTACAGATCAAGCCGTGTCCTGCTTCAATGAGACCAGCGTGCCAGTGAGTCACTCCTGCCCGCATCACGGCCATCCCTAGCTGTGCATTGTTGGGATGGTATATTTTCCTGGAGAAAAAATTAAGCAATTTTAGTTCAGGAAAGATCGAGGTTCCAAATGTTTATCAGTGATGTGATGTTTGCCAAAAAGCACAATGTTTACTCAAGCAAAGAGCCTATCGCATTCGCTACCACCGAAATGTGCAGCCCTGCTTAGCAAGAGACTGGCAGGAGTTACACGAGGACACAAACTAAATGAGAACATGGATTGTTGCGAAAGAGGATCAACAACCTGTGAACAGGCAAAGTTGGACACCTGGGTTGGAGAACCCCAAGCTCTGTCATTCCACATCATGTCGACACAAACAAAACCCAGATCCGATCCTACAGCCCAGATGGCACGACCTTAACTTCAGACGCTTAAGGCAGTGCCTAAAGTGAGAAGGCAACAATGACCAGCTTCTCATTCAAAGTGAGAGGAGGAACAGGTGGTTCCAGAAACTCCAGAAATGTTCATCTCAGCTCCTGGAGATGCATCCCTGTTTCTGCAGACTGTCAGATCACTTCCCTACAGTTAATACCCGAAGTGGGAAAAATGAAACCTGGCCTCTACACTCAAATTTAGAAGCTGAGACAGAGTTAGAAGCTCCTTGGACTTACCTGAAAACCTGCCTTCAAGGGCTTATTTGGCATACTGAATTGGAAGATCTTAAAGCAAGGAAGGAAATTACTGCAGTCCTCACTCTGAATTGAAAAACTGAGGAATGGTGGGGGGGGGAAGAAATTTCCTCTGTGTCGTTCAATCAGCTCAGTACCAGGGCTGGGACATGAAGTGTCCTGTCAGGCCTGCAAGCCAGGGAGGTGACTCTGTCACCCCACTGAAAAAGAACTAAATGTCACAGGCCTTTCTGGGTAGAACCAACCAAAAAGAGAAGTAATGGATATAAGATGCTCTCAGAAGGTGAATGAGATGACAAAAAGGGCTTTTCTTTCTTCTTATGGTTTGCATTACATTTCTTTTTAAATTTTTTGCTCTTCAATACTCATCAGTCCTGTGGTAAACCCTCAGTAATAATACAGTACATCATTTTTACTGTGAGGTTTGCCCTGGATCTATGTGAGCTAAGCCTGAATTTCTTTATTCTCATTAACCTTTTACCACAGGACTTGTGTACACTCATTAGTCAAGATCACAATCCACGTACTGTTCAAGAGCGAAGGGCTATCTTGAGTGACAGCCATTTGACATGGTTTCTCTTTTTTCGGTCACTTCTCTTCCCTGTAGGCTGTAGAGGAATAGACCACCTCCTGCAGTGACAGCCTCTCCTCTGTCCTGCACCCAGGCTCTGCGTCTTGCTACCAGGGCAGCCCTGAGATGCTTCTGAGGCAGAACAAAAAGGCTACTGGAAGATGTATCTAAACCATTTGCCACTTACAGTTTAGCAAATTGAGGTTCTTGGGAGCTCTTGTGCATTTAAGAAGGGGTCTCCCTCTCTCTGCACTTAAGAAGATGTCCTTCTCTGTCTGCATTCAGGAAGGGGTCACAATCTGAACACCAGCACTGATGCCCTGGTGGAAGCAGACTAAGAAAATTATTCCTATAACATGTTGCCTAACATTGCATAACCACAGGCAGCTGCCAAAAGTAAGGCACAGACATACAGGTAGCCATCCACCATCCTCTTGGCGTAGTCAGCTGCTTCCTCAAACATCTGGAGGTAGGAGAGCACCTCGGAGGCAATGCTGAGGATTCTCAGGAGGTAAATGTTTGTGTCCCCCAGCACAGGCTCTTGTTTCTTCAGGCACTCACGGCAGAGCTTCACAACCTGCACCCAAAGAAAACAGGGAGAGGAAGGGCAAGTCAGAGCACCTTTGGCCCCAAAGCTTTCACACCAAAGCCCTGTGGGTTGCATGGTCTATGCCAGTCATAGAGGCCATGTCAGCCTCCATGAAGGTTGGGGAAGATAGGATATCCTTCAACTTGTCAAGAAATACCAGCCTAGCAAAATGATTGTTGCTCAGAACTTTCTATTCCAGCGTTACGTTCATAAAACTGGTGAGGAAGAAGTGATGTCCAGTGTTCAGGAGAAGAAAGACGCCAGGAGCTTGGGGCTTGTCAGACACCAAGTGCCTACAGAACTCTCATACCCTAGTTCCTTCCACCCAACCTCCTACAAGAACTTGGTGTAATGAATGCTCTAAATGACTTCATGGGCCTGGAGACATGGAGCTGCACTGTCTCATGCCTGTCTGCCCAGCTGTGTCACATCTGCACCCAGCCATGACTCAAAGTCCAGATTTCTGTTCTGAGGAGCTTCAGCCTTCCTTCAAAGTAAGTTCAAACCCAGAGCCCATTGCTCAACCTGGAGTTTTTTCCTGAAGCTGTTACACTCCAAAGAGAACAATTAAATGTTTCCTGGGCCAGCAAAAGAAAAGAGGGAGAAAGGAAGAAGTAACTTGAGCTTTCTCACCCTTTGCCTTTGTCCCACCCTTGCTCCAGGTGGGGTCTCCCACACCACACACTCATGATCAGCACCTGACAAATGAACAACCTGTAGGAGCCAGGAGGTGAAAAAGAGATGAACACAGTCAAACATAGCCCACAGTTCCAGGTGGTAAGCCTCCTGACTGTCAGGTCCATCTCTCAAACTCACTGTCCTTCTTTTTATGAGGTACCTGGCAGAGCTGACTTATCACACTTGCTCTGTAACTCATATTTTTCACCCAGGAACCCCTTGGTTCAAGACCTGTGTGAATGGGAGATGTTGGAAGTCATCTGAATCTCCTTGTATCACCACTACAAAAGAAATCAGACATGGTCATTCTTTATGCAGGGCAGAAATCAGTGTCAGCTTTTACAATTTGAGATTAATGTTACAGCAATGGGGATTTGTTTCTTCCTTAAATTACTGACGCAGAAAGGGGCAAGACCTGTTTTTCCTGGCAGTGTGTATACAGCAAGAGAATGAAAGTACCAGGACTCACTTCGTGGTAAAGTCCCTCCATACGAGCCTTGTTGATCTTCTCCAGTGTGTCCTTGGAGAACTGGGTGACTTCCTTCACTGTCTCTGCAGAGGGCTGGGGACAATGTTAGGGAAAAATGTTAGGGAAAATCAGTGAGGAAAATGCCCTGCCTGACACATGCCAAAATATCAGTTGGTTAGAGCATGGTGTTGACAACACCAAGGCCGCGGGTTTGATCCCCGCTTGGTCCTCATATGTTGCCTGATCTAGTTGAGAGGTGTCCCTGCCCAGGATAGGGAGGTTGGATTAAATGATCTCTAAGGTCCCTTCCAGCCTAGGCCATTCTATGATTCTATGATTGTGGTTGAAGAGGTGCTTGTTCTGTAGTGTGGTAACTCAAATAAGCTCCACAGAATGTTTTCCACCACCTCCCTACCACTGGCTATATATCCCAGTGTGCCACCCTGCAACTGGGAGGTCTCACGAGACACCAAAGAGAGTGTGAAAGCCACCTGTTGGTGTGTATCAGGGGCTCCTAGTGTAGCTCCTTAATAGAAAGGAGCCTCTTAAATGAGAGATGGGTGAAATAAGGATAGGAAAGATGACTAAAGTTTACTCACTATAAGAAATGCTGTCATTTGGTCTAAACAACCATAAGATGGTTGACCTCAGATTTCAGCTACATCCAGAGAGTGAAATGTGTTTTCCCACACACCTCGAAGAAGTTTGGGTTTCCCCATGTATTTGAAGACAGGAAAAACACTAACCAGCTCATAATCAGCTGCCTCCTCTTCCTTCACTTAATTCTGAAATATTACATTAAGCTATCCAGCACCATTATGCATCTTCCACTTTTCAAATTTGCAGTTGAAAGTTACTCTAGCTATCATGACCTTCCTTTTCAGGGAAAATCTGAAATCAGTCCACAATCGTGTGACTCCAGGAGCTTGCAGGAAGAGCCTGGGCTGGAGATATGCAATAGAACCAGAGCACATCTGTGTGCCCAGCAGCCAGTAAGGACCTCTGAGTGTGGATCAAAAGCAGAGACCCAAAGTTGCAAGGAGGGACGCAAAGATATGGAGTCAGGACCACAGGACTGTCCCATTGTCTTTTTCCTGCATCTGGACAATCAGATTTTTGAGGAATCTGTGAAATTTAGCTAGTTGGAAAAAGCTCTTAACAGTTTAGTATGGAAGGAAAACCAGTAGCTTTCCAGAGCCATACACTCTTCATCTATTTATGGATACATATGTATGTTACAATTTATTACTCTATTATTAGACTGAAGCTATTGTGCCTAATCAGATTTTGGCAGCTGTTCGAGCAGCACACAGGGTGTCCTAGCGTGCAGAGAACATTAAAAGGCAACGTTAACGTCAGTGCTATGCTGAGTAAAGACTCCTAGAATAGATATTTTAAATAGCACTTTCATTGTGGCTTTGTCTAATAAAAATCCTCTCTTGCATTTACTAGATGCCAAAGTCTGTTGCCATTATAAACAATGGGAACTTTGCTACTATTTGGAAGGGTTGAAGGACTGGAGGTCAGAGCGGCTGTTGAGGATGTTAAGCTGTCAATCTTATATATATTCATAGTGCTTTTTCCACGCAGCTGTGAGCTTTCCAGCTCTCAGGAGAGTAAGCCTGAATTCAGAAAATGCGATACAGCCAGCAGTGAGCAGATGTGTTCTGTGGGTGAGGTCAGTCTGGATACCTATTGTCTGTGGAAGGAGCGTATTTTTAAAATCTGAGATCAGGCACCTTGCATAGCTACAGGCTTTTTCTATACAAGCACCTCAGACTGTGGAGGACATCTACCCAAAAGTGCCATGGCTTCTGGCAGAGCACCTGTAACGCTCACGAAAAGGGGATGGTGCATCTTACTGTTCAGTCACGGCTTGACAGCAGGTTATACTCTGCAGTATCCAGCCTTTCCTGACTGTCACCTATGTGAAAGAAGAGGCATAGGACTGAGTTTAACTTTCTGGTAACTACTGAGCTGGAAGCTGAGAAGTTTGTACCACTTCCCAGGAAGGTGCAGCTCGCTGGGCCTCTCCTGGTGGCAGTCCTGGTCTGAGGTCACGGTTCCTCATCCCATGGTGTTTGGTCCTGTCCCACACCAGCTCCTGAACTGTTCTGTTTGATTCGTTATGTCACTGCTCAATAGTGCAGATCAATGGCTTGATAATATATTAAATTGCCCTGCCTTGCTTTGCCCTGCCACACTTTGAAAGACTAGAAACCCCATAAGCTAACACTGCTGCAGAGGACAACAAACATAAGCAATTGCTTCCTTGGGCAACAGAACCAAAAAGAGACTCTCAGAGCCACCAACATGCTCATGAACTGGAGCTGCTGGTGAAGCAACACACCCCACTGCTGACAGCGAGACATAGCCTTGCACCCTTTCACTTGGTGACTCGTGAGACCTCCAAGAAAAACACAGATAACTTAAAAAGGAACAGTCAAACATGTTAACTCTTCGCTGTTGGTCTGCCCACAGCAACCATGCACAAATGTCAAGTGATGGGACAAACTCTCTGCGACAGACCTTTGCAAGGGGGGACTGGAAGTTCAGGCTTCCCATTTTGGAGCCAGCGTGAGGGTACACGTTTTACAAACCATACAGCTACAGCTTCAGCAGCACTGGCTAGTCCTGCCACCATGAATTACAGCAAGACATTTTCCTTTTTGTTGTCCAAAGCCTTGATTCCCTTCCAGTTCCTCAAAAAAACTCCACAATCTAAAGGCCAGCATTTTTCTCATCTTTAGATCTAATTTTCCAGTATTTTAGCATTCTGTTCATTTAGGTTAGAGTTAAAGGCAACTTTTGTGGGCTTTTTAAAATTAAAAACTGCACTTATGTTGCGTAACAATTAAACTGGTCTTAGTTGGTGAGCTTGAATTGGCGTTGTCCTCAGTCAAGGTTCCGTTCTTTTCTCAGTTTTTGCATCGGCACTAGATCCGTGCTTCTGCAGATCTGACTGCTCTTGTTGAGTGCATCCCCAGACTGAGGAACCATGGTGACAGATAAAGCTACCCTTGGGTTTGGACACAACACGACAAACCATACCTTGCTTTCTCCCTCCTTCACTGCCAGCATCAGGTCATCCTTGATCTGCTTCTTGCAGTGCTCGCAGGTGCAGTCGAAGTAATACTGCTTCTTCAGCTGCTTCCGCCGCTCCTCGCTCACGTTGAGGAAATCCACATAGGAAACAGTCAGCTCGTCTCCTGGAGAAATCTTGCTCAGTGCCCGCAGCTCGATCCTGGGTGTAAAGGAGACAAGATGGGGACTTGGAGAAGTAGCAGAAGCAAAGGTGAAACCATCAGGGACAGATCTGTTGACCTGTCCCTGCCTTGCAGAGGTCAGTGCTTGCCCTAAGGTACCGCTTTAGCTCCTCAGGGACGCGATGCAGACATGGGCAGCAGTCCAGTTAACTGAATGGAGAGTAAAAACATGGTCACACTCGTTTCTCCTGCCCCTCTCCATTTCTCTTGCAGGGACAGGTAAGGGTCTAAGCTATAAATACATTATGGTTCCATTACTTTATCCAGATGGGGCCTGAACCTAGACATAAACTTGTATTATGTTACAGGAGATCTCGCCTTAAGAAAACTCCAAGATTAGAAATATCCAACGAGCCTTGCGGAATGCTGAGTTTGGACTTTGGGTCTTTTATTAAGGACCACTTTTGCATACTACCCACACATCCCTGGCTAGACTGCCAGATGCCAAGTCATGCTGATTTTGGTACCGTTTTCACTCTGAAAAGTTAAGACACATTCCCTCTGTGTGCTGGATAAGAGATGCCCTCACCTAGTTCACGTATCTCTAAAGAGAGGCTTAGCAATAATTCTCTGGAAATAGCCAATTTTTCATACAGCCCATTTGATCTGATATTGCTAATATTAAACACCAGGAAACAATCAGCCTCTGTTATTAAACCAAAATCCACAGTATGTCCTTAGTGACAGGCTTTTGGAAAGCCAGATCTTTGCACCTGCCTTTCTCTCACGTCTTTCCCCACAAAAAGTCTTAAATAATGTGGACACTCAGAACTATTCCCTTGGTGTTTCACTCTACACACTAAATCTCCCAGTTACTCTGGGCCATCTCTCGGTTGTAGGGGCTGGACAGACACAACTGGTTGAAGAATTTGTCCAGAACAGGATAAAGTTTCATCAAACACCAATTGCAAGGTGGTGCTTCTCTGTCCACCTATTCCCCCATCTACTTGTAACTCTACCCACGGTGAGAAATAACTCACTGCCCTTGAGACCAGTGACCCTGGGCTCTCCGCTCAGACCAGTTAGTTGGTTAAATACATTTTTGGAGGCAGGCATACCTTCTGGTAATCAAAATGAAGCCGTTCCCATGGTCCGAGCTCCCACCCTACCACCACACTACTGCATTGTAACATCAGTTGTGGGACTCCCTCACCATGAGCAGTGCGCCTTGGCTGTTCTCCCGTTGAGCTCAACAGCGTGTTTGATGTACACATCTGCTACAAGATGGACCTGGGGGGGACCTGCTGGCTCCCACTTGAACACGAGTGGCTTTAGATGGCACCCAGCAAAGGTCTCACCAAAGACACAGGTCACATAGAACCCAACGACCTCACCAGGTGCATAAAAAAAAAAAAAAAAGTCTTCTGGGGAAGACATAACTTCTGTGTGATCAATGCCAAGTTGCTTTGAGCAACCTCATCTAGTGTAGGGTGTCCCTGCCCATGACAGGGAGGTTGGAACTTGATCATCTTTAAGGTCCCTTCCCACCCAAGCCATTCTATGATGCTCTGATTCTGTGATTCTATACTTCTGCAAAAGGATTGTAATTCCCGTTACAAACTCTCAGCACCACGGGCATTGCTCTGAGCCTTCCAGTTGTGCTAAAGCTGCTGTGAGAACTAGTCTTCAATGCTGGTCTTGACCTTCTCGGTGTTAGAGCATATCAACAGCAATTTCATATAAAATTTTCCACTAAACACGCCATCATCACGAAGGGCAGCTACTAGTTATGTCAGAGAAAGGTGCAACCAGCTACTCCAGGAGAAAGTGCATTAAAAAAGAGCAATTCCCATCAGAAAGGTTTACACATATAAACATTCCAGTTCACACTTAAAGAGATCTTGGTTAAAGTGAGTCATGCAACCAGAGAAGCAAAATCAAGCCTGTGACTTTTATGATGCCCCTGATAGCCTAAGCACTGCAGGTATATTTTAAGAAGCCATTCCCTGTATGGAGGGGATTGATAGCATTTGGGATAAGTCTGGAAACACACGGCGTATTTTAAATGCTGTAGTTAAAGAGACACTGTCAGCCGAGAGCACCCCACCAAGCTTGTCCCGTGCTCTTTCCCCAGTGTCTGCCCCAAGCACCAAGGACCTTGAAAGACGCACACACAGGCACAGCCAGGGCCCAATAGCTCAAAACTCAGATTGCTCCCATATAGCAACTTGAAATGGAAGTGAAACTCATTTGCCCCTTCTTATGGTCCTATCTATAAGGCACCAAGTAAGACTCAATGGTGAAGAAGAGCACTTCAAAAGTATCTCACGTTTTATTTGAGGAAATTGTGTGTTTGCTTGAAATTAAAGACAACAGCATCCTTTCAACAGGACTGACTATAATGTAGCAAGAGCAGTGAGCTAAGTAGAGAAGGGTTTTTTTCCCCATATATTTTGGCGATTTCTTTATCTTGGATCAGGTAACAGTGGCATCATTAAAAGGTAAAACATTAATCAGGTATTACAATAAAAAAGGATGAAACCCACATCTCAGGCACTGCTACTGTAGGCAACGCATTCAACGGGCACTGTTTGTTGCAGAAGAAACAGGGACTATTTAGTATGTCAGTAATGCAGTCATTTCTCATCTCCTAACACGCAAGGTTTGATTTTGGGCTGTGCAAGATTAGCAAGACCTTGTTCTGACTTTCATGCTCTTGTCATAGTCAGGGGAGGAGAAATGAGAGGGGAAATACTGACAGGGAGGAAGCCGGGGGAGAGAGTGGGAAGGCAGAGAGTCAGTCATAGTATTACCACCACCGTTTTAATTTACTACAAAATATAGAGTTAAGTGAGGTTTGGGTTTAGTGGGGCTTTAGACAGCAGAGGGAGTAGAAGTTCAGAAAATGGGGAAAGTAAAATTTTCTGCAAACGGAGGGAGCCCCTCAGGCTGTTTGCAGGTTTTCCATTCAACACGGGGCATGAGGGGTACAGGGTAAGGGGGGAGGATGATGCTTTCATGACCAACCCACCTCATCTGTGTGTGGAACATTGACCTTACAGCCTCATGACTGAAAGACAAAACAAACATCTGCAGTTTACACAGGTACAAGCACAACACAAAAAAATGGGTATATGGTGTAGGGCATTGGGATATCATCTTGACAGAAGACAAGTTCCCTGCACCTGACTCATGTTTCACTGCATGAGAGCTTCACTTTTGCTACACAGCTGCCATAACAGAACTGCCCATCACTGGGCCATGGAGGATTTGGTGGAGAATTGTTCCGGCACTGTGATTTTAGGAATGGTCTTGGCCAGGGTGTGTGCAAAACCCATTTCTGATGTTTGGAAGGTACAAGGGGCTAGTTCTCCTGCACAGAAACGTCTCTGCTGACATCAGCAGTTGTGCTCTCTGCGACACAGCTTAAAATGGAAAACAGACTGGGATATCAGCAACAAGCACTGTGTGATGAGTTTGGTGAGTCCTAAAGGCCCGTATTGCACCTTGAGCACTGACAGAGAGAGCTCAGTTCCCACAACAGTGTCTTATCATCAGGTTTCCACAAAAAGGCAAGAAACCTTCATAATTCACCTCGCTGTCACTCAGACGGCCAATTTTAAAGTCAGTAAAACAATACATGTAGGATCTTTGGCAGGCTGCCAGGCAAACAAAATGCCATTCCTCTCCTTACTGCCCAGAAACTCAGACTTGAGGGTTGCTGTCACTGCTAGTTACCTCCTTCAATTCCCAGGCTGGTTGGAGAGGCTCTCCATCATTCCACTGATCCAGGGCAATTGGACCTGATCCAAGGCAATTGGATATCAGAGCACAGACTCCAACCTGACTTTGGATCAGACCCTGTTTCCCACCAGGGTAATTATCCTAATCCAGTTTTGTTTTCTCTTTGCTCATTTACCAGCTGCTTGATAAATGCTGCTGTAATTTTATCAGGTAAAACCAGCAGTGAAAAACAGATGCACAAGCAATGTGTTAGTCAAAGAAGAGGAGGCTGGGGAGGTTAACTCATAGCACTGAAGTGTGGTGAACACGGGAATTTGTAAAATCTTAGCAGGAAATCTGGATGAAATTATGTGCCTGTGCAGTTCTTGGCAAGCAGTTTCCCATGGTTATTGTCTTGAACAGGGTACAACTTGCTGGATCAGCAGCAGTTTATACCTGTTATGGCCTGGAGGCTGGGAAGAGCAAAGCATCCCTCCCTTCCGCCGTCCCGAGCACTGACAGCAGCAGCCTCCGCTCTGCTCCACTCCATTTCCCATTTCATCTCTTTCCATCTCACATGTCCCTCAGAAGTTTCCTTACACGACTTGGGTGGGAATGGGGAATGCTCAGCAGCTTCGGGCATCCTGCACTCGCACGTGACTCAGTTTGCAGATAACAGTCAAAACTGTCATTAAGATCCCATCGCTAAAGAGTTAATCAGTGATTACTAAAGGTGGTAACACTCCCACAAAGATGAGGGTTGTGTTAGGAATGATTATAAACACACCAGCTGATAGTGATATGTAGCTGACTGCAAACTTTGGGTACAAGAAACTCTTGGACTGTGGACTCAGTATAATCTTTAATAATTTATTAACTGTAACTGTTCCTTAATTATTTATAAATAAGGCCTCAAAATAAGGGGTGATCTAGGCAGCTACTTAGTACTTTATCTACCTATTTTGAGCCTTGTTTCAAAACTCACTGAAAACAAGGTAAAATTCTGCTGGTTCACTGTATTTGGGATCAAATCTTGTCTATTTGTTTACTGTGTCAGAAAATAATTTTTAAAATAACAATAATGAATTTAGAAAGAAAATCCAGATTATTTTTTTTTTCTGAGCTAGTGAAGGAAACAAGAATTAATAGATTTTCTAGGGCAGGGATCTGACACCATGGTGTTAGCAGAGTCTGCTGAGTTGTCCATTAGGATGCATCCCTGCCATGCCTGAGGAAAGAAATCCACTTACTTGCCGTTGTTGAAGATGACAGTACAGTTGGGCCAGCAGTCGTGGTTGGCCTGGCAGAGGTTGGGGAAGATTCCCACACCAACAGCCTGCAGTCCTCTTTGGTCACTGAGGGTGAAGCCGTTGCAGTTGATCTAGTCCCAAAACATAGGCATGAAGGAACATTAAAAGGAGAAAAAAGCCAAACTCAGCTACATTCAGGATTTCTCAATTCCCGCCTCCAAACTGATGCTCCCACATCCCACCTCCAAACTTTAAGGAGAAAGGAGTGCCTACGGGATCTTTGAAGAAGGAGAGTTTAGCCAGGATAAAGCATCAGGGGAGAAGTAATGCAGGAGTCATGCAGATGGACCAACTCAGAGCAGAGCTGAGTAAATGCTGCGGAATATTTGCTGTTAATGCTCCATTGGGACATCTAAGATAAATTTGGGTTGACTATGAATTGGTTTACTTATATTTGCTTCCTGCAAATAATTCAGAAGATGGTCACAGGAAAATGAATTTGAGACAATTTAAGCAAAACATCGGCAGAAAGCAAAGTTCACGCTTATTGCAATAGGTACCAGTTAGAAATTAACCTCGAGAGCTGTGTTCAACCTGGTCACATTTGCTGGTTGGCCCACAGAGCTTACGAAAATCAATTGCTATTATTTGTCAGGAGTCCCAGACAATTTTCAGAACAACTACTTCTGCATGACATCTTTCCCAAGAATGAATTGTTATACTTTTCTATACAGTACATTATTATCACATACAAGTGGAAGAGTTTTTAATCGCAAATATAAACAAAGGAAGCATTTGCAAAGAGAAAATGATGACAGGACGTACTAAAGGAAATAATTAACTCAGCCACTAATTATTTTACTATCTTAATAGTTTTATTTCCTTTCTTAACTGAATCTGTACTTTATCTGTTCTTCCTTACTTCTGCATGTGCAAACTATGCTGGTCACCAGCACATAGGTCTCCCTGCACCCAGTGAACTGATTTTTCTTTGCAGGGTGGGTACCGAAGGATGCTCTGTCCTCTCTGTGTCCCAGGGCTGGCAAAGACAACTCCTCTGCCACAGCAGCCACGGGCAGAGCATGCGAGCAGAGGGTGCATCTTGTCTCAGCTCACCCTGGCCCCTTGGGCAGGGTTTCTAGCTGAGCGGTTAGGGCAGCCCAGGGTGCTCCGACTCATACTGGGGCTGGAGGCAGAGCAGC